TATGTACATTATATATATTTCATAGGTTGTCGTAGCCGGGGATGATAGCGAGGACAAGCTACCAATGTCTATAAAATGCTTCCGTGGTAGGCTTCTCTAATAGCCTCCAAGTGGGACAATAGACTGAGACGGACAACTGGCGCTTCATAGCCAGCTGCATCGGGTATATGAAGCTTGATAGCCCAGGAAGATGGTCTATCTAGGGGAAGAAAAACCGTGATTTTAAACCTCCGCTGCCTTGTGGTCTTATTCAAATATGGAAAAGGTTATAGAATTAAATCCAGACAGAAAACCCGGATTGGAGCCCCGATGGCTGTTGGCTGTCATCACTGATAATTTTGTCAGTGCGGCCGAGAGGAGGGCGATGTAGTCTGCGCGGCGCACGACCTCCATATACCATTTAAAAGGCCTGCGCTCTGGAGAAGTCACTCGTTTCATCAGTAGAGGATTAAATTTTGACCAAAGAGAACGCTAAGTTTATCTCTCGAGCTAAACGGATGCCTACTATTATCTATAAAAGAAAATTCTCAAAATTTAAAAATATTTTCTGGCTTTAAATATCCTAAAAAGTTGATAAGCTGTAAAAAATCTACGAGAAAATAATTCCTTTCTTCGATCATCCAGTTCGTAAAGAAGTACTTCCTCACATCCAGTCTTATGGTTGAAATTTGTCAAAGTGTTCCTTCTGGATTAACAGTTAGTTTTATTTATCTACCAAACCATGGATCAGGTACTAATTAAAGAGACCAATCCACACATGAAAATATCCGCTTGTTCCTTATTTAAAAGAATCTGTCTATATTTCTGAGATCAGGTATTATGTACACTATTTACATTATTCGGACTATTGTCCTCATCTTTGTCGCCATATTTATTACAACGTTTCTGCCCTTAAGTATCTGCCTATATTTCTGAGATGAGGTATTATGTACACTATTTACATTATTCAGACTATTTTCCTCATCTTTGTCGCCATATTTATTGCAACGTTTCTGCCCATAAGTATCTGCCTATATTTCTGAGATGAGGTATTATGTACACTATTTACATTATTCAGACTATTTTCCTCATCTTTGTCGCCATATTTATTGCAACGTTTCTGCCCATAAGTATCTGCCTATATTTCTGAGATGAGGTATTATGTACACTATTTACATTATTCGGACTATTGTCCTCATCTTTGTCGCCATGAGGTATTGCAACGTTTCTGCCCATAAGTCGCTGCCTATATTTCTGTGATGAGGTATTATGTACACTATTTACATTATTCAGACTATTTTCCTCATCTTTGTCGCCATATTTATTGCAACGTTTCTGCCCATAAGTATCTGCCTATATTTCTGTGATGAGGTATTATGTACACTATTTACATTATTCAGACTATTTTCCTCATCTTTGTCGCCATATTTATTGCAACGTTTCTGCCCTTAAGTATCTGTCTATATTTCTGAGATGAGGTATGATGTACACTATTTACATTATTCGGACTATTGTCCTCATCTTTGTCGCCATATTACAGTACACTCCGGCCTTCTTCGGGTGGTTGGAATGTCGAACTGAACCCTTTATTTCGCTACAGAGTGTGAGTTCAATACCCAGTTAAGGCAGTGGAGAACTTACAGAGGGGAATTAACAGGAGATAACTGATAACTGACATCCATTAAACGTGGCACGTGGAACTAGAACAGTCTATCCTAGTGAGCGAAATAAAGGCTTCAGTTCGACATTCCAACCACCTGAAGAAGGCCGGAGCGTACAACGACCGAAACGTTGTAATAAATATGACAAAGATGAGGACAATAGTCCGAATAATGTAAATAGTGTATTTAAAAGAAGTGTTTTTGGGGGGTTTTTTGTAACGTCCCCACCAAAGAAAAGTCTGTTTTCTTACACAAAGCTGCCAAGGCCAAAAACTCTATAAAGGTCCGGGGTCGATTTGACATTGTATCGATATTATGAATAGGAATTCCTTTCTAAATCGATAACCAATCAATATTGTCCGATTCTAACAAGTTCTAGTGTTTAATAACTCCAGCGAATAGTCTGATCCTTCCAACTATCTGCCTATTAAACTTCTACCGCTTTTTAGCAACGTACTAAATGCTCTAATTAACTCTGAATCGGTTAAGCATCTCACCTCGCTGGAACATCTTTCAGATAAGCAATATGGCTTTTGCTTCTCTAATGTGGTCACGATTATTGCTGAAAGAGCCCCTCAAGACTATTTAGATAGGAATGATGAAGCTCGGGCTGTTGCTTGTAATATTTGAAGGCATTTTGACAGAGTTTGGTATAGTGGTCTTCATCACAAGTGTATGTTATTGCTGGACGATATTTTGAACTGATTCAGTTTTTCTTATCAAATCGCGAAATTAAAGTTGTCTTGAATGGCCACGCTTCTAGATCATTTTGTATTAATGTAGGTGTTCCTCAGGGCTCTATCCTTGGACCTACGTTGATCCTAATTTTCATAAATGACCTTCCTGATGTCATCAGGTCTCAACTCGGAATCTACGCTGATGATACAGCTGTTTACTCGTGTTTTAATAATAAGTTTGATCAGTTCGATAAGTTCAAATTGGCAGCTGATCTCAAAATGACCTACAATTTGTTGTTAACTGGGGCAAGGAGTGGCTTGTTAATTTTGACGCCTCCAAAATGAAACTGCACTCTTTTAATCGTCTGGGAGAACCCTTTTTACCTTCCATTAACATGGCTTATGCTAACCCCCAAGGAAGTGACTTATTGTGCCTTCTTGGACTAACGTTTTCCGTTGATATGAGATGGAAAGAGTATACTGAATCAATTGCTAAATCTGTAGCTAGGAAAGTTGGTTCACTGAGTCGAGGTAGACAATTTTTCTCTACTGAATCTATCTTACATATTCTAAGTCTACTATTCATCCATGTCCTGAATATTACTGATATATATGGCCCGATGCTCCAACTGTATATTTGGAGATTCTTGATAAAATCCAAAGAAGAATCTGCAATGTTATTGTACCTGACCTGGAATCTCGTCTTCGTGAAGCGCTGAGATGGTTCCAAATTATCTCCCAAGGAAGATATACAAGTGTATGGATATTAAAAAAAAAAAAACGCAAAGTTCTTGATATTTAAAAAAAAGAAAGGTTTAAAACATCCAATCTATTTATTGCTAGCAACTCATGCACCTCAAAATACTTCTAATGATCTTTTTGAATTATCATGTCCTCTGGGAGATTTTATCTCCATTATTAGTAAACAGAAACATTAATTTCTTTCTTTGGTAACTAATGCACCACACTCTCTCATAGGTTGATGTTGAAACTTGACTAATGCATGGAATAATAATACAACACAAAATGTACTTAGAACAAAATGTATTGAAACAAGAAAGGTACACAATATTTACATATAGTCTTTTGTATATTCTTGGGAAGACCGTTCCTGAAGAATGTGTTGACTTAGTCTCTGGATTGAATCTCTTGGTTCCTCCCCTCGTCTTCCCGGTACCAACCATATTTATATGGTCGGTATTCCACTATGCAAATTAGGTGGATCCTACTACAACAGTTGACTTCTCGGTTAATGTACTTCAAGCAAATACAGACTATCACATCACAAACAACCAAAATACAACTATTAACGTACGACAAATACCATGATGATATAATGGCTCTCACTGAATGGAAATACGCAAAATACTAGGTGCTATTCCTGTCTAAAAGAAGCGGCCCACAAAAGCCTGGAAAGAGAGAAGTGGTGGGGGGTTCTGCACGGGTATGGCAGCAATAGTGAAATTAGGTTTGATCTGGGTCTTGTGAAGATAGAGCATGACAGGAGGAACCAGGTACTTTCTGGAACGGTATAAGGAGTTGACCATTTTTAGCAATTGTACCGTATAGATGAGTTCTAGTTGAGGTCTCGAATGAACTTGAGACACATTACATGCTATCTATCTATCTATTTAAAACTGTTCATATGTATCTATCTCTCTATCTATATATATATATATGTGACTTCTCATATCTGTCTATCTATCAATCTATCTAAGACAGTTCTATCTATCTATCGATCTCTATCTCTCTGTTTCTCTCTCTCTCTCTATATATATATATATTTATATATATATATGGCTATTCATATCTATCTCAGTTTGTTCTTATCTATCTCTCTCAGATTGTTCTTATCTATATATCTATTATATATCTATCTATCTATCTATCTATCTATCTATATATATATATATATATATATATACATTAACTTGTTCATATATATTCTCGATATTTGCTTAGCTTAGCTTAGTGCGAAAGAAATTTAAAAAGAGAGGAATTGGGATGAAGAAGATTATGTTGCGCCAGGCTTTCTAACAAAAGGAAGACCGGCCAGACTACCTGCCTTGAAAATCAGCATTATAAATCTTAATTTTCTTTTTTCTATTTATTTATTTAGTTAGTGAGACACAAATCCTGGCTTCTAGTACTGTACAAGAAAATATATAATTACTAATTATCTCGATGAGCTCAATTTTGTACAGGTCCCAATGAGAGAAATATGAGGTGGCAAGTCTTTTAAATGGGGCGGTCTAGTTTTAGAAAATCAACACTGGAAATCCAGGGAGTTTCTCCGGCCTCAACGGTAAATACGTAGGCTACTGCTCTAATCTTTTCCCCTATTTGACAATCTCACTATTACCCTATACAACTCGTGGGCGGGAAACATGTGTTTACTTATTTTCATCTTATTCCAGTGTAAACTAGAAGTAACTTCATTTTTTATTGTGGCTGTCTAAACCTGCAAAAATCCTTGGATACTTTCAATGTAACTTCTCTTTTAATATTAGTCTTATATCTTTTGAAGCTAACTGATAATTTATACGATAAATGTGTTTCACTAAAGATTACTATCTTTTATGGTCCGTTTGTTCCTGCTGTATTTATAAGATAAACAAAATCAAATAATAATATATACATATATATATAGGGAGAGAGAATGGGGTGGAGCGGGGCGTGAGACGGGTGATAGGATTGAGAAAGGCATGTGAATCATTATAAGATAAAAAAAAAAAAAGAAATGGAAAAGGGGCTTGAAGATGGGGGGCAGTAGTAAAGAAAGAAAGAAAGATATGAAAAGGAGAAGAAAGAAAGAAAGAAAGAAAGAAAGAAAGAAAGAAAGAAAGAAAGAAATGAAAAGGAAAGGGAAGAACAGAAAGAAAGAAAGAAAGAAAGAAAGAAAGAAAGAAAGAAAGAAAGAAAGAGATGAAAAGGAGTGGAAAGAAAGAAAGAAAGAAAGAAAGAAAGAAAGAAAGAAAGAAAGAAAGAAAGAGATGAAAAGGAGAGGGAAGAACAAAAAGAAAGAAAGAAAGAAAGAAAGAAAGAAAGAAAGAGATGAAAAGGAGAGGGAAGAACAAAAAGAAAGAAACAAAGAAACAAAGAGATGAAAAGGAGAGGTAAAAACGATAAAAGAAAGAAAGAAATGACAAAAGGAAAATAGAAAAGAAAGAAGAGATAAAAAGGAGAGGAAAGAAAGAAAGAAAGAAAGAAAGAAAGAAAGAAAGAAAGAAAGAAAGAAGAGATGAAATGGAGACGGGAAATCAATAGAAGAAAGAAAGAAAGAAAGAAAGAAAGAAAGAAAGAAATACATTACAAAAGGAAAATAGAAAAGAAAGAAAAAAATATGAAAAAGAGAGTGAAGAACAATAGAAGAAAGAAAGAAAGAATGAAAGAATTAAAGAAAGAGGTGACAATGAGAGGGAAGAACAAATACAAAGAAAGAAACAAAGAGATGAAAAGGAGAATGAAGAACAATAGAAGAAAGAAAGAAAGAAAGAAAAGAAAGAAAGAAAGAAATAAAGAAAGACCAAAAGGAAAATAGAAATAGAATGAAAAGAAAAAGATGAAAAATATGAGTGAAACAATAGGGAAAATAAATAGAGAAAGAAAAGACGAAGAGTTGACAAAATGAAAATAGAAAAGAATGAAGAAGAAAAAAAAGAAAGAAAGAAAGAAAGAAGAAGAAGAAGAAGAAGAGAAACGAGGAAAAAGAGAACAATAACAAAATGGATGAATTTTGATTTAAGAATAATTTCAATATGCGATAAATTTGGATATTAACAGAATTCGGAATAAATATGAAAATGAACAAAATGAAAAAATGTGTGGCAAACATTCAAACGCTATTTTTTAAAAACTAGATACTCAATACGCAATTAAAAACATTGCCACACACCTAATAATTACGGATATTGCAGATTTGTTTTCAAATGATATTTTTGAAAATGAATAAAATTAAATAATTCAAACAAGAAATGAATGACATAATAAAAATATTATTTGTAGAAATTTCACACGAGGGAGAAAGGAACGTGCTGCTTTTACTGAATATCAAGTTGCAGCAAGTTTCTTCCAGCTTTCGTTTCATTATTAAGGGCTAATCTTAGTAATACTCTTTAGATTTACAGTAGTTCACTGCTGTCGTCGGCTTAAGAAATTCTAAATTCGGCACTGCTGCTTCAAATTCATTCACTACCATATAAGAGATTAGATATTACATAGCAGATCAACATTCTTTTCTTTGTTTCTAACAATGTTTTATTCTGTCTCAATACGTCGCTTAATTACTTAATTTTTGCAATTTCCCACCAGTCTTCGGATTTCTGTGTCACAATTTTCGTGGTCTGCTACTACACTAGCCGAATAGTTAAATTCCTCTATGTGCTTGATTTTGCCGTACCCAATACGTAGCTCACACCATGTGCTTTCTTTTTTTGCTAATGAGCATGCATTCTATCATCTTGCATTAATAGATAGTCCATTCTTCTTGCTTTCCCTTAATATTTTGTCTGAGAGTTATTTCAGTTTTTTTTCTGAGTTTGTAATCAACACAGTGTGATAAGCGTACATTTCCTTCAAATCCACACCCCGCAAAGAACCTCCCATCACTAGAACCTCGTTCTACTATCAACGAGCGGATTGGGACTCGTTCCGTGACTTCCTCCGCGATGTCCCCTGAGATGTTGTCTTACACTCCCTGTCCAAGAATGTGCTTCTGAGGTCTCATCCTGGGTTAAAGCTGGAATCGACACTTTCATCCCCTCAAGGAAATTTAAGGTCAAGTTGCACTCCTCCCCTTGGTTCTCCGCTGCTTGCTCAGCCGCCATCGCCCATAGGAATCACTTCTTTCACATATTTTGTAGTGACATGTCGAACTGCAATAAACGTCTCTTTGCCTCCGCCCGTAACGAGTGTAAGCGTCTCCTCAACGAAGCAAGTCAATATTTGCTGCTCGGATGAAGGAGCGTATTGCATCTCGCAAATTTGGCTCCAAAGATTATTGGCGGCTCTGCAAGAGTGTCCTGAACAACAGAAAACCCTCCATACGTCCTTTATTCAACCAGTTCGAGGTCTTGACCTCCTCTACCGACAAGGCTGAATGCTTTTCTCGGAAATTCTCATTTAATTCAACGCTCGACTCCTCCGGTGTGCCCATACCAGACTTCCTTCTAAGAACTGAGGCCCTATTGAGCGGCTTACACATAATCCCGTCATTGGTGCTGGGCATTATCTCCAATTTAGACCCCCACAAGGCTAGTGGTGGAGATGGCATACCATTCATTGTCTTGAAGAAATGCGGGGCCTGAGCTAGCGCCCGCCCTCTCTAAACTGTATAATTACTGCCTCAAGAAATCCTGTTTTCCTGACTGCTGGAAGTCCTCATCCATTGTTTCTGTCTTTAAGAACTCTGGAGACCCCTCTGACCCCTCTAATTACCGTCCTATTAGTCTCCTACCCCTCTTCGGCACAGTCTTCGAGGCCCTAATCAATGCCGAATTGGTTAACCACCTTACATCCCATGATCTGCTCTCAGACAAGCAATATGGTTTCCGCTACGCCCGATCTACAGCTGATGTGCTTACGGCCATCACTGAAACCGTCTACCAAGCCCTTCAAAATAACGGCGAGGCTCGTGCCGTGGCCCTAGACATCTCCAAAGCGTTTGATAGGGTTTGGCATGCCGGCCTTCTTCGTAAGCTCCAGGGTTATGGTATTACAGGTCGATTGTTTGATCTAATACAATCATTCCTGTCAAACCGTGAATTGAAGGTCGTTCTCAACGGATTCTCCTCCAGTTCCTATCCCACGAACGCAGGTTTTCCCCAAGGCTCCATCCTTGGCCCCACTCTATTCCTTATTTTCATCAACGACCTTCCTGACGCCATAGATTCCCAAGACGACACTACAATTTACTCCTGCCTCAAAAACAAATCTAGTGTCGCTGACAAAACTAAGCTGGCCGTGCGTCTTGAAATGGACCTCCAATCGGTTGGTAATTGGGGCAAGAATTGGCTGGTCAACTTTAACGCCTCAAAAACTAAACTACTCTCTATTAATCACCATAGAGATCCTTCCCTGACCCCCATTAGAATGTCTGATAGTCAACTTCTTGAGAGCAACTCCCTGCGTCTGCTCGGTCTCACGTTGACTGCTGACCTGAGATGGAACAAATACATTGAGTCAATTGCTTCTTCCACCGCGAGGAAAGTTGGCTCTCTGTGCCGCGCCAGGAAATTTTTCTCCCCGGAATCGATACTTCAAATATATAAATCAACCGTTCGCCCTTGCATGGAGTATTGCTGTCATATATGGTCTGGGGCACCTTCTGTTTACCTCGGAGTTCTTGACAAGATCCAGAGACGGATATGTAATATAATTGGCCCTGATCTGGCGTCTCGTCTACAGTCACTCTCTCACAGACGCGCCATCGCCTCTCTCTGTCTTTTCTACAAATATTTCATGGTAATTGCTCTAATGAGCTGCTTTCACTGGTTCCCAGACTCCATGAATTCAAGCGCCCTACGAGGCTGGCATCCCACTCCCACCATTACACTGTAGAAACTTTTAAATGTAGCCGTCTCTTCTACTCCAATAGCTTCATACCCCGCACCTCTCGCCTGTGGAACACCCTTCCCAATTACTGTTTCCCTGAGAGCTATAATCTCCAACTATTCAAATGTAATGTCAATCAACATCTCCAGTTACTTTGATCTATCCACTATCCCTCTCCTCATCCTTTCTTCTATCTCTCCTATCTGCACTCGCTCCAAATCTTCTGCAACCCCCTGCATCCTAGTGGCTTCACGCCTTGCTCGGGGCGTAATGCTTATTATGCCCACAGATAATAAATCTTGATATAACTTCATTTTTGAGGATCTATTTTAAGTATAGGTTAAACAAATCCGCTGGGAAATCTATGTCTATTCCCTGAATACGGCCTTCGCATACAGGCAGTTCAGGGTTTACTGGTTACTCAAATGTCTTTACTAGGTAAGTCAAAAGTCAAGCTTTTGTAGTATTTTAACTAGGCCTTTGTAACGCACCTTAATCAAATGCTTTTTGCAGGAGGATGCAGTTTGAACAGGGCAAACTTTGTTATTGTGAAATGACAGGCCTTCTCTGGACGGAACAGTTCTCAGCAGATATAGTGAACATGAAAGTAATTTGAGCAATGTTAAAGAGCCTATGCAGATCGCAGATTAAACATTGGTACCCAAGACCAAAAAAAAAAGCAGGAAAGAGATTTTTGTGATAAAATCAACTGATAATATGGAACCTTTGAAAAAAAATGTCAGAAATAAAATTGTATTGGGTTGGATCAAAAGTTTGTACTGTTTTTTCGATGAATTTCAAAGTTTGCATCTTTCTCTGCAGTTCACTGTTGAACTAGAAGACTGTTCCCTATCCTTACTGCATTTCTTCATACAAAGACTTCATCTTGAGTTTATTATATCACTGGACCGTAAGCTAACGTTATTCGATGCGACTCCTTTTGTCCCAGAATGTATAAGATCAGTTTGAACAAAACCGTTAGTCAATCGGACCCTAATGATCTATTCTTCTAAACTTGAATAAGAACTAAAACTCCTTCGAAACTCAGTCAAGCGTAAAAGCGAAGATTGCGCGATTTCAAACGTTTTGACCTTGAAAAGTGTCTCATTTAAAACTGCACTGACAATGTATTTTGCAATGTTATTTTTCTGCTATTCTATGACTAACCTTTTTCGTCTCGGCCGATGATGAAACCTATTTGCAAGGACGCCCTGCCTGCCTTCAAAACAAATTCTGTTATTAATTCTTTTACATGTCAGTGTTACGCTGACTGTATATGCAGGACAACCCAACTTTTGAGAGGAGAATTTCTCAGCATGTTCCGTCATTTATCAAGAGAGGTCAGCTGAGTGCATTTTTTTGCATCAGGGTGTGCTATTGCTTGGCAGCTGAAAAAAAAATCGTCAGTGTTCTGCACTGAGAGAACTTATTCTATGTTTTATACTGACCGTACTCGGAATTTCATCTCAAAGTGCTTGAGGTAATTTTCATTAGGCATTCTTCGTTGTGTAAATGAAAGGGGTGGCTGCTAGGACTTAATATGTTCTGCATATAAATGTTCGGCGTTAGTATATTACTAATACAGTGTATTGACATCTTTGCTTTTTTTGTGGGTACTCACTTTTTTTTTTTATTATCCTCGATCGAGTTTTGATAAATAAGGATCGAAACTGGTTCACTTGCAAATGTTCCCTCTAATTAAATGTCTGTTCCTAACTTTTCTCTTGTTTATAACTCCATATTTTGTACAGCAAACAA